TGAGGCATGCTGCCCTAATATGGCGCTAATGCTAAAGCAGAGCTAATGCTAATGCAAAGCTAATGTTGATGCAGAGCTCATGTTAATGCAGGGTTAATGCTAAAGCAGAGCTAATGCAAAACTAATGCTAATACAGAGCTAATGTTAACTCAGGGTTAATGCTAAAGCAAAGTTAATGCTAATGCAGAGCTAATGTTAACTCAAGGTTAACGCTAAAGCAGAGTTAATGTTAACGCAGAGTTAATGCTAAAGTAAAGCTAATGCTAATGCAGAGCTAATGTTAACATAGGGTTAATGTTAATGCAGAGCTAATCTTAACTCAGGGTTTATGCTAAAGCAGAGTTAATGCTAATGTAAAACTAATGCTAATGCGGATATAACGTTAACGCAGGGTTGATGCTAAAGCAAGGCTAATGCTAATGCAGATTTAACGTTAACACAAGGTTAATTGCTAAAGCAAGGCTAATGCTAATGCAGATTTAACATTAACACAAGATTACTGCTAAAGCAGAGCTAATGCTACTGCAGAGCTCATGTTAATGCTGGGTTATTGCTAAATTAGAGCTAATGCTAATGTGAAGCTAACGTTAATGTGGGGTAATTCTAACACTGTCATTTAGTAATGGTTATATTAATCGTCATCGGCTAAATTTATTTGCCAGTATTGCTCAACCCTAACTTATTTTTTGAGAAGGGGTTATCTGTGGAATCAAAGTGGGCGTGTCACAAGAGTGGGCGTATCTAAAGCATAAACACTGTGGGCTACGAGGCCTACATGATGGTATCCTTAGACCCTGCTTGACCTCTATACAGCCTGACCCTGACCCCAACACTAAGGTTAACCAGGAGAAATGTGACCCAAGTAGGGTTCTCCAGAAAAAAGTGGTGCCGTACAGTAACGCCCCTTTTGTTCTTGTCCAATCAGGTGGTGCCGTACGGTGACGCCCCTTTTTTGCTTGTCCAATCAAGTGTGTCCCTTTAACAAAGTCCGTCAAATCAGGTGTGTTGCTTTAAAAAAGTCCGTCAAATCAGGGGTGTCACTGTAGAATCGCCTTTCGTTGTGACACGCCCACTCGTCCGCAGAGACCCCTACTTGTATTTTTCTGCGGAGTTGGGTTCGTTTGAAAAGTTTTCAACTCCTTTTAGGTTCAATAAATAACTTCCAAATACAATGTGTTTTGATTCTGAATCCTGGCTCAGTCCAGTTAGTAGCTTCTGTGCTAAAATTACATTAGTTAAGGTTAAGACCTATCATTAACTATGATGGCAGAGTTGCTGAATCTAGCTTCACATGATCTGAATGCTGTTGATAAATATGCACAAGTATTTATCCAGGCGGTGCACAGAGGTCGGATCAGACTCGTCTGGTCTCACATAAAACTCGTCAAACATCTGTCCAGAACCACACCCATAACCTGGTAATTAACCACGTGTTCAGATGAATATAAATGGCTCCGGACGCTCTTCAGGGGAGGCATTAATCCACTCTGGGTGTCGTTCTTCTCAGTCGACTGATTCCACTAATTAAATGTTCGTTTTTAAAGTCGATTCGTCTTTCAGTTTGACCCACAACAACTCCCACATTTGACCGTATGACTTTCCTCTGGATTTTTTTTTCAAAAGCTTAAAGTGGTTTAAAGCAAAATATCACTGGAAAAAAAAATTACAGTTTTTGACCAGTTAAATTATCCGTTGCTTTGAATTTGGGGTCGTGACAAAGTGGAAGTCTCTGTATTTACTCTCATTTGTGTTGCAGCTTTATGCAGATGGATCATCAGATTAATTTTTTTTTTATATTTAACCAGAACTCGGTCACATTAAGCAGTCTGTAACCAGAGCAACAGCTGCAGCATAAACCTACAAAATCTTTGACTTGTAAAGTGAATATTTAGTGTTCTCTAAGAATAATCTTGGATTTATTTTTTTTATTTTATGCATTTATATTTCCAAAAGTAACAGACAACCTCCACAAGTTCGTGAATACAATTAAACCAGCGTTCTTTGAAGGAAGCAGTGACGGCTGGTATAAGTGGGCTAGTAGGGCTAAGCCCTCCCTGGTGTTCACAATAAAAAAATGTTAAAATAAACATTATTATAAAATCATAATATAATTATATACAATTTATAAATACTTAAAATAAACAAAATTTAAAAATAATATATCTTATTTTGTGAAATTTACAAGGAAAACTGGTGCCAAACCACCTGGGAAGATCCCAGGGTCGTTCTGCAGGGCTAACTTTTCACAGCCCGTTTTCATGTAATGTGTGTCCTGGTTCAGAATGATTGACAGGCGTCTGGCCACGCCTCCTCGGTTTGCGGCTCATTGGGGCTAATTCTGTTCAGCCCAGGATCAGCCCAAAGCCACAAGATTCAGCCATTTAGGGTGGACGTACAAAAACGTGCCTCCAGTGTGAGTGTATGTGGGCGTGGTTTGGTGTAGACTGACTGATACGATGTGACCAGCATTAACATGTTAAGAAATTGAGGAGCTAAACAACTTAGCTAAGTTTCTTAAAACAAAAAAGTCTTTTAGACCAGAACACACCAGGAGAAGCTTAAAGTTAAAGAGCTTGGACCAGATCTGCTGGACAAGAAAAGTAGCAGAACAAAGACAGAGGGAGAGTTTATACTCCACTATTTTCCAAGACCTGGATTAGCAACAGGCTAAGCTAACTGCTTTTAGCGAGGCTAATGGTTTGTTTTGATTCATTGGCTCATATTTAAAGCATCAGGATCTGACCCAGCATGGTTTAAATCAGGTAAGAAAAAAGCTAAAATATTTTTGTGATGCTTTTAATCATAGTAGTGCTATAATATAGTTGTGCTTTTAATCATAGTATAATTTAGTTATATTGTTAACACAGCTTTAAATATAATATAATATAATATAATACCTTTAGAGGTGCAACAATTTGTTAATAAATTAGCATGTGTATTCATAACTTCAGTTATTTTCTATATATTGAATATTATAAAGTTCACTTGTAGCCATCTCCATACTGAATTAAATTTGTGCATTTATTTTTTTTAGGTTTTTGACATCATCTTGAGCCTTCACAAGCATCTGATCAGAGCTGCAGGCAGACGTTCCTGCAGGTCTCCAGTTCACCACCATGGAGGCTGCAGTGCTGAACAGGACCAAGCTAAACATTGAACAGGTTTTTATGAGATCAGGAGCTGCAGTGGTGCTGTGGAGCTCTTCATGGAGAATAATCTGCATCTTCAGAGACTGTGAGTCTTCTGAAGATTCTCATCACATCTCTTCTGACCACAGCTGAATCTGAGAGGAGCTGAACTCTGAAGACAATCCAGACTTCCCTCAGGAACAACATCACATCTCACTGCACTGACCATGCTCTATAAGAATCTGGTTAAAACATCCCTGAATTTAACCAGAGTCATGAAGAAATTTGCTTCTCAGTAACAGAAAAGCAACATTTATGTACTAAAAATAAAACACTACATGACATTGTAATGCTGTTTTATTATTGTCATTTGTTTAATAAATACACTGGCATGATACAACTTAGTACATGTTTGATTGCTTTTTGGGATACGTCTATTTTGGAGCTGTAGCCCCACCTGGAGAAAAATCCACCAGCCGCCACTGGAAGGAAGTCTGTGTTTGGAACAACTCAAACAGCAACAGTGGATCAAAATCTGTACAATAATTGGGATGTAGGAGTTTTGGTGGACCAGAGCAGGTTTTGCTGCTTGTCGTGGATCTGGTTGTTATACCCTTCTTAATGACATCAAACTGTTCAGTAATGCAGCCTGGTGGATGTTTTGTCATAGTTTATTAGTTCAATTATCCAGCGTGCAGCTGGAGATGCCTCCTGCTGTGACTTAGTGCCGCAAATTTTCTCCTCATCATGCAGAAGACCCCCGGGGGCCGCCGACACCGAGCTAACTGCTGGCTCTCTTGACACTTTGAATAAATTGATGAATGACTGGATAAATACACTTTATTACACTCACACCAGGGTCATTTATATTATAGAGCTGTGCCTAATAAGATTTAAAATTATTTGATCATTACTGGAAAATGTTCAGGTTTGACGCCAAGACAAGTTTCCGCTTTTATTTTCCTGATCTTAGACCTGTGATTTTTTTTTAAAAAGGTCTGATTTATTTTTTTGAGTTAAAGCTTCGTGTCCATTAAAAGATGTGCTTTAGTCGTGGTGTGGAGCAAAGCCACAAAGATCCATAAGCCTCTGAAAGTCCTGTCAGTCATTCAGATAAATCGGATTTATGGCCTCTAAGATGATATTTATCTGAGCATATGCAGGCGATTGAATGACAACATGAAGAAAACATCTCAGGCTTTTTTTCCCCCTCGTTGCTCTTTAAATCAGCACAATCCTAAAGAGTAACTTCAGACGATGTCACATTTTGGTGCTGACTTAATCTTAATCTTTATATTTTATGCTCAAAACCTACAAATCCTCCAAAGAAAGTTAATCTCAACACTCTATTACAGAGGCTTGAACATGTTAGGATTACAAGAACGGCTTTAAAATGGTTCGATTTCAATTTGTTCGTGTTAATGATAAGTCTTCGTACACTGGAGTTGGTACTGGAGTTCCTCAGGGTTCAGTTCTTGGCCCAGTATGGTTTACTTCATGCATGTTTCTGTTTTGTGACGTTATTGGACAATAAATGTTTATTGTTATGCTGATGACACTCAGTTATATTCATCCATGAAAGCAGACAAATCCAGTTAATTACTTTGAAACTTGAGACAAAAATAATCTGGATGACTTAAATTTCTGCTTTTAAACTTCGGCAGAGGCTGTGGTTTTTGGATCTGAGCACCACAAACTTTACAGCGTTTCATCTTCTGTAGATGGCATTAATTTGGTCTCCAGTTTTAACGTAAAGAACTTTAGTTTGGTATTGAAAGGAGTCAGTTGAAGCCTCATGTTCACCTGTTTTTAGTCTCACAGCTGTGTTCAGGTATGATAATGACTAATCCGTCTTTGTCTTTGTGTTGACAGAACAACACGTCATGGAGGCCCGAGTCGTGTCAGGAGTGTACCTGCTACAGCGACGTGCCTATCTGCAGACCCATCCACTGTCCCAACCCCCGCTGTGACTTCCAGAGGGTGAGTAAACCAAGTGAAAATAAATCAGACTCCTAAAATACAGGTGTCAAACTCCAGTCCTCGAGGGCCACTATTCAGAATGTTTTCTTGTTTTCCAGCTCACCAACATTTGACCCTCAAACCCAACAAAATCCACTTTACAGTGATTCTGTTTTGACTCTGTTTCATTCCTAAACTCATATTTTAAAACCTATTTTTTAACCATTTCTTCTTTATAAAAGTGGTTTTAAATGTGACAGCTTCAAATCCAGTCCCCTCGCTAAGTTGAGGCAACAATCAGTGTCTAATGAATTTCACTCCGCCAGCTCGCCATCTGACGTTAATTAAAAATTAGTCATCGTGCTTGTCCACCCGTCCGCTCCTTTTTATTCAAAACACTCGTTAAATGTGGCTTCCTGTCACCTACACCAGTAACATATTACAGATTTTATCACCAGTCTAGATTACATTTTATAAAAGTCCAATCTTTCATCGGTTGTAAATTTGAACGTTTCCTTAAGTGATAAACACTTTCTGAAGAACTTTTCATTTGATAATAAAAAGAAAATGGTAAATTCACAACAAATCTGGATTCATGGCTTTTTTTTACATATTTATTTACATTTTTTTGTTAAACAGTTCTGTTGTTGGACTTCTGTGCTCAACACGGATTGTCCATCACGAACACCATGTTCAGGCATAAGGGTGTCCATATGTGCACTTGGCACCAGGACACCCTAGGCCGCAGTACGATGATCGATTTCGTCGTCGTTTCATCGGATCTGCGGCCACATGTCTTGGACACTCGGGTGAAGAGAGGTGCGGAGC